CCCTTCGCAGCCTTCCAGAGCTGACTGACGCTCCGCCGCTGCCGTCTGCGACCAGGGGCCCGCCGTCGGAGCGGAGAGAGCGGCCCACACCCGGATCCTGCCCGAATCTAGGGCACTAGGCGCGCGGGGCGGAGGAGAACGGGGGCGAAGGCATGGTCTCAAAGGCCGTCGCCCTCAGCCGCGGCTCGTCCGCGTTGCTGATCAGCGGCATCTTTTTAAGCCTGACCTGGGCGGCGAGGGCCCAGCCGCCCGTCCCCTGCCAGGCCCCGCTGCAATGGGAGGGGCGCACGGTGGAATACGACCACAGCAGCGGCAGGAATACCCGCGCAACGGTGTCTTACGACAGTCCCAACCAGCGCCTCCGTATTCTGGAAGAAAAAAAGAGGTTCATCCCTTGCAAGAAGTAAGTTTCCCCCGCTACCCTTTCCCGCGCCCGCTTGAGTGCAGTCTGAGAAATCTACGCGACGGCCATGCTGGCCGGACTCGGGGGAGGACTGTTCTTTTCGGCCTCGCCTTTCACGAGGCGGGGAATAAATCCTGCGCCCAATCCTGCGCACCTCTTGGTTGCAGCCGGCCGGGGAAGCCCGCAAAGCCCGCACACGCGCACATCGAATCACCCGCTAACTGCGGAGGGAGTTCCACACCAGCCGGTGACAGATCTTGTGTCAGGGGTGGGTGTCATTTGCTGCAGCCCCAAAGACGCCCAAACCTGAAACGTCTGTATATAAGTTCGCATGGGGTGCGACTCGGCCCCAGTGTGGGCTTTCGGTGGAAAAAGCGGAATGAACACCCGATGTTCATTCAAAATCCCAGCGGTGCGATTCAAAAGGCCCCACGCCCTAAGGAATGTGTTGTAGTCGCAAAAAAAGGATGAAAGAAGCAGCGGACAAACATAGGACAAAGGAAGGGGTTGATGCTGACCATCCCACCTCGCCGCAGTTTAATTCCATGTTTGGGTCAGGATAATTGCACAATAAAAGTACTCGATTGGCACCATTATTTAGGTCATGATTATGCTGTATGGGATTCCAGTCTCTTTCAAGATATTTAATTCCCTCCCCCACCTCTTTATTTGTGCACCTGTCATGCTCAATCCTAGTTCAGCTGTTTATGGATCTTCACTTACAGAGAGGAATTATTTTTTTAAAAAAAATATTTTTGCAAAATGGGCAAAAATTATACGTGCTCTTTCTCTCTTAGCCTGCTGGTATTTCCTCCTTCTGCATTAAGGGTGCTTTTTTGAATGCATAAGAATAATTCCTCAAAGGATGAGTCTGTGATACTTGTACAATAACAATCCCTTGCTGTATAGAAAGTTCCTTTTATTACCCCACTAGTATTTCATAGCCATGTTTAGAATAGTCTGTTCCATTTTTTTTTACCCCTCTCATTTTCTATTTCTTTTCATTCCCCTAGCATTTTGTGGCAACTGAGCATGATTCTTGTGGCTATTCATGAGGTATTTCACCTTTCTCTTAGGCCAGTATTGTCCAAACTTGGCCACTTTAAGATGAGTGGACTTCAACTCCCAGACAACACCGTCTTAGGCTTTTCATAAACTTACACAACTGTCTTCCTCCCACCTCCAGCTGTAGTATTAGCTCACTTGTATGTGTGTGTGGTGTAATTTTGGCTTCATAACATTCCATTCCGAGCTTCCAGAAGATACAAGAGAAATACAAAGAGGGCAGGTATCAAGGAGGGCAGGATGCCTGCACCTTTCATAGATATGGAGAAGAGCATATTACAGCAAACAGTGCTGTCGTGGTAAGTTGAATTCTTTCTCCTGCACAATTCACACCCGATTTCCTTTTACATCTGGTCACAGAGTGCATGAGGCTCTTGAACCTGAACCTGTAGCTGAGGAGGTTGAGAAAGCAACAACTAGCGTTAAAAACAGGAGTCTTCTCTAATGTAGATGTTGTCAATGCACAAGTTCAAATATTGAACTTGTAATGTAGCCTCTCATTGCAGATGAATGCAACAGGAGAAATGGAGTGATTTAAGTTACTCAGTATAGCCTATTGGCATGCAGAGATGAACTTACCAGTTAAAATGCATGGTGAAGAACCAGCAGAAGGGAACTTTTCATAACTATGTGGTAATGCACACAGCAGATATATACATTCATCATCATCACTATCACTGTCATCACAAATGTATTTAGTCAATGATCAGAACAATAAAAGAGTTGGATGGCAAAATTGCATGACAGTAATATAGCATAATAAAAACTGATTTAAAACTATGTAAAAGTATAATGACATCACATAAGTTGCCCTGGGCATAATATTTTTCTTGGTTACAGCAGATCTAATTCTGTTGTAATTTGTTTGCATCTTTCACTGCTGTGACACAAAATTTAGCTACAGTATATGTAATGTTATGCTTATTGTCTGAAAAGAGAAAAGCAAGATTTATTTATTTTATTTTTATTTATTTATTTAATTTGTCCCCGCCCATCTCCCCACAATGGGGGACTCTGGGTGGCTTACAACACACTAAAAAACATAAATACCATTAAAAGATAAAATTTATCTTTTTTTCTCCCCACAATGGGGGACTCTGGGTGGCTTACAACACACTAAAAAACATAAATACCATTAAAAGATAAAATTTATCTTTTTTTCTCCCCACAATGGGGGACTCTGGGTGGCTTACAACACACTAAAAAACATAAATACCATTAAAAGATAAAATTTATCTTTTTTTTTAAAAAAAGATTTTATTTAATAAATTTTATTAAAGATAAAATTTAACTGATCATCCTGGCATATGTTCTAGCAAGGGAGAGATGAGAGATTGATGGCTACCTTTATAATAGGAGCAGTAGAACAAAACATGCTGGGTGGCTTCTATGGAATTTGAATTGCAGGGAAAGAGGAAACTTTTCTGGAAAAAGGAACTTTGGCTGATCTACCACTGAGAACTGCTGCAGGTAAAACATCATGTCATGGTTAAATATCCACTTTAGTTCCCATCTAGGGTATTTTAAATGCCCCTTGATATGATGTGTAATTAAACTAAATTCATTCTGTTGTTCAACATCAAGTAATCTGGTCTTAATAATTTGAAAGGCTTGTTTCTATTCTAAGGACAAGAGTTGGTCATGAGAGGCAAGTTTTTTTGAGTTCTAGTAGATACCAGGAGCACTGAAATTGATCTATGTAAATTAGAGGGATCAATCCTGTTTGGGAAAAAATGGCACTTGATGCGTTCTGTAGACATTTAGGTGCATGAAAAATTGATTGTATGAACCTACTGTTGATTTTTTGTAGGGGTTGTGTAGATGTATGCATTAATTTTAACTAATTTGGGGATTAGCAACTCACAAATTAAAGGTTAATTAACTGAAATGTTAATGCCAGTTTACAATGGAGAATTACTAGCTCAAAGAGCATTAACAATGGGGAAGAATTAGCTGAGACAATCCTTAATGTTCAAAAGATTTTTCATATGTATTTTGCTTATGCAAACAAACATTTAAAACATGGAAAAGTAATAATTCACATACAGAAGAGAAAAAAGTTTGGTTAATATACCCTTTAACTGTATCTGATTAATATATGAATTCTTATTTTCTTAATTAGAATTTTCAACAATAGCCCAGCTGGATGTGAGGTAATTAAGCACACTTTCAAAAGCCATCTCTGCTTTCAGATTATTCAGGTCCAAGCTTAGATATATTTCTATAGCATTGTTGTCTCGTGATTGCTGCCCACAGAATTAAATAATTAAACTTACATACAAAAATGTGGGCTTGTTATAGTATATGTGTGCCTGTGTGTCTTTCTTTGTATGTGAGAATTGAGATGTTTTGGTGGAAAGCAGGAAGAGCCAACTATGATTAGAGAGGTCTTCCCCTTCTCCACACACGAGGGAAAAGTGGCATACTTGTGTCATTTCTTCTGAACTGATAAGCACCACATGGTACAAGAGAAACATAACCATGTTTGTGTGGAGAGGTGATGAAATCTTTCAAAGTGAACAGTATATGAAAAGGTATCACTTTTCTCCAGCTGTTTGTTTAAGGCTAAGTTATAAAAAGTGAACATGAGTTTGCCTTCATTAATTTACCTTGGATGGTTTCACACTCAATTGTATTTACTATAGGTTCATTGCTTTTTTCTCTAGCTAATGGAATGGCATCTACCGATGGAGCATGTTTTCTCTTCTCTTTCAATTCTGCCATCCATGTATGTCTAAGAACTGCCCCAAAGATTGCTAAGACCTTCTGGAACAGATTTGGGAGACACATGCAGAGAGATTACAGTAGGGAGAAGAGTAGTCATGTTCTGTGTGCAGAAGTTCACTTGTGTAACATTGATGTAGTCCATTAGTAGAATAAACCTTGGTAATATACAATGACTCAACTCTGAAGTATGACTACATCTGGCACTACTTATAATTCTGTCTATTTGAAAAGGCTATTTTGATTATTCTGTTCTGGTTCCATAGCATCATTTGACCTTCAGTTGATTCGGACAGGACAAGAATTTGTCCAGCCAAGATTCACAGGATATTGTCTTAGGGTAGCTATCCAAAGAAAGCAGTATCTTTCTACATTAAGAACATTTGCAATGAATTTCAACTATTAACCTTTACTGGATGGCTTCATTTATTGATTTAGTCACCATATTTCCTTGTATCAGTGTGACCACCATCCCTCACTACTTTCCAGAGATGATGTGATCTATCTATCTATCTATCTATCTATCTATCTATCTATCTATCTATCTATCTATCTATCTATCTATCTATCTTATCTGTGTCAACTGTCCAAGGATGAAAAAGCCCTGATCTTGCTGTGGGTTTTTTTTACTTTTTCATTTTGGATCAGCCACAAGTTCACTGCTTGGGTAGAAAATTAATACTATATTTTAGTACATTTATATTGGACTTGGAAAGGGTTATAATCAAAGGAAATACAATGACTAATAAAATGTAAAAAAAAAAGAAATAAAATCAAGAGTAATTGGGTAACTGATTTATTCTGCACCTCTGTAGAAAGTGGCTAAAAGATAGTTTGTTGTTTTATTAAATTCACTTTGGGGGAAATATACGCAAAGTACTACTTAACAGTGATCTTGCAATATATAGAATTTTTTTCTTCCTAGCGTTTTTCCCACATGTATAGAATTGTTGGAACAATTATGCAGCTAAGCACTGAAGTGTTTGTCTAACTTTCTGCACAATTTGGTGGAAGACAGGATGTACCAGCTATGTGGGACTGGTTCCAATATATAGTTTGGCATATAACTAAATAAATAATTACATAAAACAATTAAGAATTCTTTCGTGGTGAAGATTTTGAAAGCAAAAATTGTGGAACGCTAGCATCCTTACTGGCACAAAAGTTAGGGAAACAGTGTTTGGCCGCTGACAAAAACATTGTTGAGTTCT